AGATCCAGGGCTTTGTTCCTACGGATGATGCTTATGGTGATATTCACAACATCAAGATTCCTCGTGGAGACACGATGGCGATTTACAGTATTGTCCGAGAATTTGCATTGTACAATGAGCAATATGCCATCGCTCAATACCAGCTCAATGCACAGCAGTCGGTCAATATGCAGGAACGAGATCGTGGCAAAGGGCTTACAAAGTTTGGATTTATGAACATTGAGCAGAGGATGTCCACTCCATTGCCAAAATTTGCCGACTGTGGCCAGGATATGACTTCTTATGAAATTCGACGTCTTGAGCAACTTTTGTTGGAATTCGGCCAGAGAGATTCACAATCTCACCTGAAGCGCCTGTAACAAGGCCGCCGCTACAACGAAAGCGTTCACAGGCTTATGATACCGAAGCCACGGTTACAATGGAGGAAGAAAGAGGAGCGTGGTGATTCTGGTCGTTTTGCAGCCTGGTCGGATGACAGAGTCCCTCCACCTGGTGTACCAAAGCCACCAGCTCCCGTAACAGGGACGCATACGACTTCAGTTTACAGGCCACCTCCTATTCCTCGAGCTCCAGTTCCTCCAAAAGAAGACTTCCCTAAACGGAATGTCGTATCTGACCCGCCTATTGCTCCCAAGAGCATGCCGCCGGACTTTGTTCCAGGTACAGCACAGCAGGATGCCGAATCCATTTGGCAGCCACCAGGTGCAAAACAGGCACCGCTGCCCGATGTTGCAGGCCGCGGCAGTTCTTCTCAGAAAGGCTCCAAAGCTCCTGTAAAAGGGACGCCACGCGGTTCTGTCGGCAGAATGATGCCCTTCTTCTCTGAAGATAAGGCACCCAGTCAGGGCAACATCTCGAAGGACCTCCTTGGTCCTCCACTCACACCACAAGCTCCAAAGGTCAAGCCACAAATTCCAAAGCCACCACCTTACCCACCGCCAAAACCCAATTTGCTTATTGGGCAGGCTCCAGCGTCGCCTCCACCTCTTCCAGCACCATCACATCCACCAATGCCAGGCCTTCACCTGTAGCTAAACGTCAACCACCTAAACCACCTCCACCGAAAGTTCCACCGAACACGTCCAGTGGAATTCCAGTTCACACCAAAACAAGTGATTTTGATCTTACACCAAAGCCGCCTCCTCTCAGCGAGCTCTATACTCGGCTACAACCTTCCGGAAAAGGAAAGGGGAAGGGACATCATCGTGAAGGTCCTTATGAGACGAGGCCATGGCATTTATCCAATGTACCGCCGCCACCTTTGCCATCAGGGGCTCCATCTTCATCGTCTTCCCATGCTCCCATAATCGGGCAGCCTACAGCACGTGGTACAGACGATCGTCCATTGGAACTTTTTGATTTTCCAGTGGTACAATGGCAACGTACAGATCCTTGGGCTGAAAACTATTGGCCCAATCACATGGAGCTTCGCAATTGGATGGAACATGGTTGGCATGATGATACGGAACGTTTTGGGTATAGGCATTACTGATGACAAGCATTTTGTACAGCTACCATAACTGGTACGCCTTACAGCTTACGAGTGTTGAGATAAAGTACATCTTCTGACCCGCTGTGAGATGATCTTTCACCACGTTGTCTCACGCATGAATGCATCCTTTACCGGATTGCCCTAGTCGGAGAGTGAACTATTAATCAATGCTATAACTAAGACTGGGTCAAGCGTGTGTAATTACATGTCGTGTGAGCCGGTAGGTTGTACGTTAGGGTAGCTACGTTCTCCTTGTATAGCGCATGCACGAGCTTGATGAGGGATTTCTAATATGAATTCCTTCGTCGCAAGAATTTGATCCTCCCGAGATTTTCCCTACGGGTAGCTCCTTGTAAAGGGGGGTGTTGAAATTCACCTCATCTCCATGGACCCCGTAGCGTGGACTCTCAAGGTAGAGTAAAATAGCCCGCTTACCGGTCTTATAGGATTAGCTAGGTAACTAGTGAAATCCGAGCTGATCCTGTAAAATACACTCTGCAAAGCTAACGGCAGGGTCATTGAAACCTTTGGATCCTTCTTTCAACGGTAGGTTCTGATTTGACTTCTTCTTTTTTTTGTGAGGCGCTGACTTCACCGGCTCATCTGCAACAGGAGCATCTGGTTTCTTGGCTCCTGAACTGGAACTTAGAACCGTCGAATGTTCAAAAGGTGTCCAAAATCGGGTGACTTTTCTTTTCTCCGGAATGTCGGAGGTGTCACCGTTTTGGCCGGTGGAGGCATCGAAATCAGCTTTGGCGGATCGATCTTGGCGTCTCCGCTGGCTATCTTCTTTTCCGGTTTCTTGTCAACCGGAGTATCGGCTGTCGGCTTGACCTTCTTGTCGTCCGGAATATCGGATGGACTTGCCTTCTAACAGCCATCCTTGTACGAACGTATGTGCTCGGTGTTTGCCATTGCAGGCAGGGCACGCTGCATACGAAGGGTTCAAAGCTGCGAAGCTGTGATTCGGCTTGCGGACAGACCTGGTGGAAATCACGATGTCCAGGACATTATGATTCGAACTGCTCACTGGCAACGAAAAGCGTTTCATTCAAGCCGAACAATGGACAGGTCAAAAAATAACCGACAGGCATGTGTTCAATAGACATTCCGAGACTACGAAGCTGTTCAACGCTGAAAAGGATCGGTACATCGCCTTGGTCGAAAATGTCAATTCCAGTCGAAATCCGCCAGTGGGCGCCTGGTCATTCTGAAGGTAAACCACAAGCTTCTCACGTTCGTTGGACTGTTCACCGTTTGCAAAAGAGAATCGGCTCGATGATGCTTCAAAAGAAAGACTGATCTTGGATGCTTTTCTGTGATTCTTGCACGCAAGACGAACCAAACAGTTGATAGCAGTCCTGAATCCCATATAGCTCGAGCACATCCGGAGTCGATGGTGGCGTAGGTCGGAGAGTACCTCAGATCGATGTATTCGCTGAGCAATGCATGATGGAATCCATCGTCAAAATTGACAGAAAGAAGAATCACCGGAATGCCGGCAGTCCTCACTACTGCCGACATTAGATGATACTGTTGTGAAACATGGTCAACACCAACCGAACTGGCTGCAAGATTGCAGTCGTATCGGAAATCAGTCGGCTGGTTACTCTGATCAGGCCATGGCTCTGAGCTATTCTGCTCATCACGTCGCGGATTGTCCATCTGCAGTCCTTCCGCGTAATATGTCCATTCCTGCCAAGAGGCTTCCTTTTCTTGCCGGGTGTCTTCAGGATAGTACTGGTCCGTGTGATAACAGCACAAGTCCCATGACCAACTTGCTTCATGGGCACTCCAGGTTTCTTCGGCGTTGGGATTTGACTGAGCTGATCAAGGCTCCTCGGCGGTTGCAACATTCGATTGTTGATTCTGGTTCTGTTGTTTGCTTTTTCCTTTACCTTTGAATGCATCTTTGCCATAGAAACCGGAGTTGTCAGGGTACTCTGCGCAATGCGCCCCTGCACCTTTGCCTCTACGGCTTGTGAAGTCGGGTCGTTCCGCGGCCTTTTCCTTTGCCGCCTTTGGATGGGTTTTCTGAACCTTCTTCCATGGATTCTCCTACTCCTCCTTTGGCTTGCAACAGCCAAAAATCGGATTCTGACAATAAACTCACAAATCCTTCCCCGCCTGTATCCTGATCCATCACCCAGTAACCGGACTCTTCCTCTAAGTCTCCCTCATCGAGGACAAGGAACGTGGATCTTTTCTGCCTGTGAATCGAAGGATCGGCAGTTCCTGTGGCTGTTCCGCAAAAGAGATCAAGAAATAAGCCGATAAGTACGCGCAGTTGTTCACGCCCACCTGACGCAAGGACACGCTCTCTACAAATCTCTCTCTGCTGTTCGTTGAGTTCAGATTGCACTAGAAAGATAAGCGACATCAAGTTGTCAGACAATGGGAACGTATCACGATGCGCTGCTTTCATGGTATCGATGTGTTCATGTCTGATCCTATTGGCAATCTCTCTACGTTCTGGCGGATCTTGGGTGCCTTGAAGAAGCATTGTTGGTGAAGTTGAAGTCGTCTGCTTGAGGAACTTGGGAAAGATCTAACGTCCCACCCAAGCCTCCATGACCTCTTACTTGCTACCTCAAAACGAGCGATCCAACTATCAAATTAACCGTTTCCGCACCAGGTCCTAAAGGGCCGCATGAAACGCCAGAGGTTTGCTCCCTTGACAAAGTACGGACGCAACGTGTCCCTGAAGTACGTAATACCGTTCCTCTCGTCACGAAGGTGCTGATTGCCGAGCATTTTCTTATAATACTCCTTGCAGAAAGTGTGGTAAGGTTTACCCAGTCATCTATCAAAGCTTCGAACTCAAACCACGATGACTGTCCATCAAAGGATGGGGGAATTTTTGGAGTCATCTTGACTCCTGGCATCGGTTGCGATTCGTATGCCCGGAATGTCCTCAGGACCTTGATTGCTGCGCTCGGAATATCGAGCTGAGCTTGACGCTGCAAATGCCTGATCAGGTTCCGACTCGTCCTGACTCGCCTCTGATTCGTTGCCCGTATCTATGTTAAAGATCTGGGCCGTGGTCTCTACTCTTCAGACAGCGGGCAAACCTTGGTTGTCTCCTGTCCGGAATATCGAGAAATTTGCACGATGCGAAGCAGGAGACACAAGCCCCGCTACCACTTTGAGGGGTGAATTCCCCAAAGTGGCATAGCGCGCTACTGGACCTGACGAAAACACCAAGGAAGCGGCGCCGAGCAAAGCTCGGCCTCTTCCCTGGCTGCGCAGTACAGTGCGTTGCGGGCACACTTGAGCCAAAATACAAGTGTGAATTAGGCTGTAAAGCCAAAGCTACGAAGATACAGACAACCATTTGTACAAGTGAAACGTGCTACACACGTATAGTGTAGACACGTCTACAGGGAACCTAACCCTGTAAATCACAGAGGGAGGGAGGGAGGGAGAATCGGACCACGTCTTTTCCGGAAGGATACATGTGGACATTGATGCGCGAGCAGTGTGGCACAGTCCAATTTTTCCGGCTCAGGCGAGAGAATCTGGATTACTATGACGTTCTCAGCAGCCTGGCGCTCCGAAAAGTCTAGAGCCTAGATGTTTAACGGGCCACTGCTATTGATTGTGCAACTTGCAATGTGCGAGCAGCATTGCTCCAGTTTCTTCATGCTCGCAAAACATCGCGATTGTTTCGCAATTCGGGCGCCCCAAAATGGTGAACAATTCAGGAACCCCTACCTGATGTTTTTGTAGTTAACGTATAGAGTGATTGTTTTCTTGGGTTTGGTTGTTTCACATCTTGCAGCTTCTTGTAGTGTGGTGTAACCTCTTTTTTGGACGATGTTTGAATTCGAATTTGCGTTCAGTTGATGTCCGTGCTGCCCCGTTGTCACCAGACCAACAGATCGATTGGGAGAAGTTTGGGTATATGAGCGCGGGGCACATTCCGAATGTTTCACGAAACCGCCACAATATGTGGCTGAAGTCGCGTGCGAATCAATGTTGCGCGTGGACTGACACGCACTAAATCGAGAAGCCGCCTCTTGCTTTCGACATCCGAATCGCTACTTTGGTGGCGGAGCCGAACGCTCCTTCCGCCCCAGGTCTCAAGCAGACGGGTGACTCCTGGATGGTCTTCACGCCGGACATCTACCACTGAAGAAAAGAATCTCATCCTCCTGCTCCAGCTCGGCCCTTACTGTGACCGCCTGTGTGAACTTGCTTGAGGTTCCCTTTGGATAAGTCACTGCAGAGCCTCCTCTGCAATTGTGGCCTCCGAGTGCATCCTTTGGGTTCGACGGCCTCAACAAATGGAAACAAATGGTTGCATGCCGGCAACGCCTCAGCAAGAGTGAAGCAGCCATCACTGACCAGTCTTGAGGCTATACCGTCGCTTCATGACTCGCGCTGACGAATACCACACGGCCGCAGACGATGATAACTATGACATGGACTGCTGGTATGATGAATGGCCTGACTACTGCAACGAGGACGATGAGTCCGCTTGGTGGTATGAAGATGGTGTAGAAGATTGGTGGCCAGATGAGACCACCCTTTAGATCTTTGAAACTGCCCGTAAGGGTTGTATGTGTGTCGGATGCATCCTTGGCCAATAAGCAGAGCAGCTATGCAACAGAAGGCATATGCATCCTCCTTGCTGAAGATGCGTTGGTGTCACCAGAGACAGATGCTCGAGACTTCTTGAAAGAAGCGCAAGTTGCTTGGACGGGTGGTTCTATGCATCTTCTCCACTGCTCCTCCACGGAACGCAAGGGAAGACTTTGGCCAGCGTCCTTAACGGCTATGCTTGCGCTGAGGATTCAGAACCGCTATGCAATACAGATGCGTACGTTGACTGCGTGGACCTAGTTGAATTGGCCACCGGTCAGAAGGGTGCACCATTGGACAAAGGACAACGCTTTGGATTCTTGCGATCCGTGAAGAGCTGCGTACACATCACTTGCGCAGATTGTTCCATGTTCAGACTCATTGGATGCTTGCAGGCCATCTTACAAAGCATGTTTAATATGTATCTAAGTGTCTTCTTGAGTTTTCGACCACCGGAAAGTGGAACATTGCAGGATCCTTGAGGCTTCGCCACCATTTTGGTACTGCGCCTACTTTGTGTTCAGTTGATGTCCATACTGCCCTGTTGTCACCAGACCGACAGATCAATTGGGAGAATGAGTGCGGGCATGAGGCACGTTCCGAATGTTGCACGAAACCGCCACAATGTGGCTCAAGTCACACGCAAATAAATGGTGCACATGGACTGACACGCACTAAATCGAGAAGCATACCACTTCCTATTGCTTTCGATGTCCGAATCGCTACTGTTTGATCGTCAGTTGAAGCTTCAGTGCAACAGTGCAACGGGGTTCTACAACATTGCGTGCGCGGGTTGGTGGTTGAGGATTTCTGCCAGGGTTTCCGCGTTTTAATTGTCGGTGTGTCCTTGGCATTTGCTGTTTCTGTGAGTTCTTTGGGGCGCGTTTTTAGACAGAACCCCGCAGAGAACGTACAACAAAGCATTTCAGAATATGTGCACATGCAGTGAACCCAAAATCCATTATTTTCAATGTATTCGCCCGAAAAGATGCGACAATCTTTCTGAAATGTTCCAAAAGGGAAACTGCTGTTCACATTTGGTCTCTCACTGGTTGCGCGTTTTTAAGCCAGTGTTTGTACGTGACTTTAGCTGCAAGGTTTCAATTGTTGCGGCCAACTAAAAGGGAGGGGCGGTGCGCAAAGCTGGTGCCAGAATGAATCAAATTGAAGTTGTCGGTAGTTTTTGGCAATTGCGACGCTGAATCTAGCATTGCGTACGTTTTGCGGTTTGCATGTCCGCGTTCGTGGGCCCATTGGCATGTCGGATAAGCATGCTAGCCCGGGTCCTGAGGAAAAGACTGCGCGGGACCTTCTACAAAACCGGCCGAATGCACAGAAGTTTTCAACCTCACCACTCATAAGTTTGATTTCATACCACACCATAGCGCTGGTTTCTAAAGGATGATCACACACACACTCGCATAATTTCTAGCCCTGCGCCCTGATTTTGCTTGGTGCTAAGGCAGCAGACGTCAAACCAGAATTATCTCCAAATTTGTTTGTCCATTCATTATTGGAAAGGTTTTTGTGGACAGTGGACGTTGGCCACTTGCGCCGGAAAAGGTGGAAGCGAACCTTTTCAAATCAATTTTTGTGAGCATCAAAAATGTGTTCCTGCGAGACCATTCTGATCAATTCATCTTATTTCTGAAGAAAAACACGCAATTGTCGTGGTGAATGCATTTGTTCTTACCTATATATATATATAAAGCGTGCATTGTTTGCAATTAGAGTTGGAAACTCGTATTAACATTGAATAGCATCAGCCATGGAACAAACTCGTTGCGTCCTTTGCGTTATGCACTCATACATTTACAATACTTGTACCAGGTGGAGCCAAAGCAAGCTGTAGGAAGCTAAGGACATGCAAGAACATCCGTATCAGTTTTCCTTTGAGCCAACTCTTGGCTGCACATTCACCCTGCCAGGGTCATCACCACATCTAAAGATATGTATAGGCACCCCCAGCCGAAGGGAAAACAAACAGAGCGCAACAAACCCAGGGTCTTTTAGTATCGGAGGCACTTGTTGTGATTTGTTGCCCAACTTTGATGAAATGGCGCTGTTGTTTGCCAAATATGCCAAATACAACCTAAAATACACAATCGATTGCAGTGTAAACAGATCAGATCATTCCTTGGCATTCCCGATTGAGCACTGGAGGTTGCAATGTGGCTGTAGGTCAAAACCAGGATACCTTGGTTGACCTACCAACGATACTTGCGGACTCTGTCTGAGGCGCCTCCCACGACCCTTCGGTATTATCGGGTATCTGGGAGTTGGGCATGTACCAAAACAAACTATACAAAGAAGGATCATTGGTTGGGGGGCTCCAGGTTTTGACCTATCCCGATGTCAGACCTCTAGGGTTGTGCGCGTGGTTCCAAGTGACATGTTGTTCCTGGAAGAGTGCTTTGCGTATGTAGCTCCCACTATTCACCTTTCCTCCAGTCAAGCTAAGGCAGCGTCTCGGCCCTCTATCAGCACGGAGGGGGGTGTTGGCTTTGGTGGGAGGGCATTTCTCTCATGAGATCCAACGTTCAAAGGTTTATATACAGCTCATCAAATGCACCAAGTGCCTCCCTACTTCCGGCAAATGACGTGATCAAAGGGAGTACAACTTCCAACACGTTCTTTAGAGGGAGTTGTTCCCTACTGTCTCCAAGCTTGTTTTGCCAAAAGGGCTTCTTCAAGCTGCCAATCACAAGGCTCGAACAGTCACAAGGAAATTGCACAAGGAAGGGCCGTCCAGGAAGGCAACAGGTTTGCTTCTTTCCTGCTCAGGTGCGGTTTGAGAACCATGGTGGTGACAACGAAAGCGCTTTGGTTTACATCTCACCGCACCTGGAGCCCCTTGGCGGCAAGAGATTGCGCAATTAAAAAATTCCAATGTCAAGCAAAACGCATGTCAATGTGCAACAAGTTTGCTATGTTGGCAGATGGTGCTTCAACATTGTGTATTAGATCATATTAGATCGAAACCACCAGTTCAGTTGCAACTGAGTTGCTGCACTAGATTTCGCAGACTGGTCCCAATGCAAGTTGGGAGTGGTCCCCGTGCGAGGGTCCCGCGGGCGCGCGGGCTCGGCGCGGGCTCGAAGAATGGCCCGCGGGCCTGCGCCGAGTTACTTATCACACTTAGAACGTTGCTCGCAAGAGCTGAATCAGTTGATGAAGTTCCCCTTTACACTCATTAGCTCTTGACTCGATGGAGCGGAAAGATGCCAGAACCGAAAGGCGATGGAGTCCGCGAGTTTGAAGGTGTTTGAACAATTGGTTTCATCGCATTAGACCTTTACGAAGTTTTAAAAAGTGGCAGGTACACACTCAGGCGTCCCCGAGTGCTTCCACCAGTCTTCTATAGCTTCGTTGGGCAACGTAAGAAGACTGGCCGTTGCCCCCCTGCAACATCTCTGCATTACACTCGAGGTGAATTATGTCGCGCAAACTCCTTAGACACAGGTGTGGACACACACACACAGATAGCCGTATTCGGCGCTCACATGAATGAAGGAAGGAGAAGGTGGGAAACCGGGAGGAGAGGAAAAAGGAAGGAAGGGAAAAGGTCGGGGATGTTGTGCCTAAAAGGCGCAAAGCATAGGTGAAGGTCATGTCCTTTTTGGACATGCAGGTCAACAGTTGAGCAAGCGCTCGCTCAATTGCCGAGGTCGGGTAGGTGTATTTGCGAATCAGGTGGGCTCGTGATTAGAGTCCTGACAATCGAAGTCGTTGGGAACCTGCGGAATCTCGGAAGCATAGTCTTGTATTTTCCAAGATGCGTTGGGTGGGATGTAGGTGATGGTGCGCTGGTTGAGGTCGACATCGAAGCCGAGAAGGTGCATGTCATCCACTGGTTCCAGTTCCACGGGGTTGCCAAAGAAGTCCGGGCGGATGAGAGTTTGGAAGGCGATGTGGGTGAGAAAGTCCTGGTTGAAGGTGATGAAGCGGTTGTCCACGTACCTGTAGTAGGTGAAGTAGATCTGGGAGTGGTCCACGATGGAGTGATGGAGCTGCTGCCAGGAGTGCTCGATGAGGGTGATGGCGGCATTGCAGAGCGCCGGAGAGAGTTGGGATCCAATCCCAGCCCCCCATACCTGTTGAAAATAGGTAGTGCACGCTCGCAAATGCAAGTGTCAAGTGCTAGTGCTACAATGGTGGTAATGTTGTTGGTATCTAGGGTTCGTTGCGTGGCCATTGTTGAGACCGATGAGCATTGGAAGGGGAAACAAATAAGGCGGTGAGGTGGGGGAGTCCAAGGGCATAGATGGCTTCGGCCCGGTCGATGTAGGCTGCATGGTGAGTGATGTGTGACAGTGCCGTGTGAAGTGTGCGGATGCGCTCGAGTGTGGTGGTGTTGGGACCTCGGCAAGCTGTGGCTGCTAGTCAGCAAGCCATGTTTCAAAATCTCACAGGCCGAGTCCTGGATGGCCTCATCTAATTGTTGGGCCCAGGTGGTAATGTAGGCCGCGGACCACTTGTTGGGAACGTCGTCTTTCAAGGAAGGGTGGTCCGGTTGAAGGACCTTGTGGCAAGGTGAGCGGTTCTGCATCACCCACTGCGGCGGCTGCTGGTTGTGATGGTGCCGCGGAAGGAGAGGGTCTGGTAGGTAGCATCATAGTTGGGCGGCGGGGTGTCGTCTTCTGGGGGGAAAGCTCCAGAATTCGGCTGTCTTGGTGTGGACTTTCCTGCGGCTCGATGAAGAGCGTCGGCTGTGGCGTCCAGGTCGAGGTGCTGTTCCCGGACTTGTGTCATGGGTCTGGTTGGTGGGAACCAGACTGGTGTATTTGCCGTTTGATAGGGCGCGGGCGGTGCAGTCCGAGGTGTCATGGAATGCGAGCAGCCAAGGAAGAAAGACCTGGAAGGTGGGGAGTCCAGCAAGGTTGCGGTTTCTGCTCCACGCCGTAGGTTGTATGCGTTTGAAAAACTGTTGGTTTTTCAACAGGTTGGCGTCCCAACGCTCGTCTGTCTGCTTCTGAGCTGCAGTGCGTGTGAAAGGGGAGGAGTAAGCTGTCCAGTGTGGGTCGTCACAGGGTTGCACCAATTTCAATCGTTTCAATGTGCGCGTGGGCATGTGAACGGTCCTGGTTTTCGGTACCATGCCTGGAACGCTGGAGACCTGGTATGGTCGACAGGATTGGAGCTCGGTGGGCGGCGGTTGCTTGTTGGGAGTGCAGGGTCCATTGGCTGCTCCAGTGTCGTCGTGGGTATTGGTGTCGATGGAGCGTCTGCAGCACTGCCTGAGGGCAGGTGGCTCGGACGAGTATATATAGCTGTTGGTTCAAGGCGTTGGTAGCATCAGGCTGTGTCGCGGAATCTTCCATGATGAGGATGGCGTCGGTCTGGATGCTGGTGCATGTGAAGGTTGTAGTGCGTGTGCAGGGAGCAGCGCGGCCTTTGCCCTTGGCTTTTCCTTTGGGGTAGAATGGCTCCATGGTGCGAAGGCCATCAGCGCGGGCCACTGTGTAGTGCTCCGGGTGAGCCCCAAGGTTGTTGGTGTGGGTGTATGCTTGTTAGAGGTGTTCATATGCTCACTCCACGTGATGCCGGAGGTTGTTAATGTGGTATTGGAGAGAGCTTGGAAGTTCTTGGGCGGTGTGATCATGCCATAGAGCCATAGAGCAGTTTCACGCTGTTGAGCAAGAATCTCCATTGCTGTGTATAACTGAGAGCGAACACTGCAGGTAGAGGCTAAGACTGCTAGGAGATGCCCTTCTCGTTCTTCAAGGACGTCCAGAACCTGTTCTCAGCCATAGCTGGGGCTCGCACAGCGGAGACACGAGCAGCCAAATATGGTGACGGCAGTCGTAGTCTTCGTGGGCTTGAACCAGCTGTGGATAGGAAGGAGAGGAAGTGGGACACGGGAAAGTGGGGAAGAGAAACACACTGCAAATACTGCAAGGAAGTGATCAGAGGAGGTTGAGAGCTCCTCGGGAGCTATCGGAAGGTAAAACCGGTGGCTTGAGACGACATTATTTTTGCGGTCGGGCACTGGTATATAGCTGTACGCAGTGAAAAATGTGTGGGTTTCTTGCACACAGGGATATGCTGTCAGCAGGAGGCGTAGTTGGTGACAAGCATGGTCGTGGAGTCGCGGGGGAGCTGTCCATGTCATGTCGTTCGCCTGTGGGTTGCGGTAGGGCGTTGGAGCAGCACAGCGAGGGTGTTCGACGTCATAGCCAAATGGTCGGACCTGACGAACATTGCATGACATAGTAGAGCGCCACATCCTCCAAGGCAGTCGTGTATGGGGGTTCCCATACCCGATAGTCTCCGGTGGATGTTAATCCCAGCCAAAAGGAGGTGCGTGGTTGACCCAGACGAGAGTAGATCACATCTTTGAGGTCATCGATCGTGTAGGGCTCATCCTCGATGTGAGAGATGGCGGGTGACCGTGATATAGTTCAGAGGTTGGTGAACCAATAAGGCTGATGTCCAATTCAAAGCGAACTGTGACCAAGTTCGGGACATGGGAGATGACCTCGTAAGGTTGGCGAATCACTGTGCGATCTGTGGGGATCATCAGGCGGGTTGGATGTGCAAGGCGCAGGCTGGTGAGCATCATGGCGTCTCCGTAACGGTTAGTAAAGGGAAGCGGGTTTGAGCCACTGTGAGGAGAATGTAACACGCTGGGTTTGGCCCATGCTCCAATACAGAAGAGAGTGCTCGAGAGGTCAGTGAAGCACATCCCCAGGGTAGCCGAAAGAGCGAAATACGGGATGAAATGATCGGTACAAACCCTAGTCTCTGTTGGCGATCAGCTATGTCGTGTGGGTCGCTCAGGTGGCAAATGCCCATGGTATCCTGACAACTGGTAGAGGACGCCGTCTGAGACATATATCCGGACCCTGACGATGGTACAGGGCCGATGCCTGCCGTATAGGTGGGCGCTGCAGCCTGCAAAGTGGTAGTTCTCGGGGCTGATAGTACGGGTGAGAGGATGGTCATCACTGGATCATCTGAGGAATTCTGGCAAGGTTGGATGTGATGGATGGCAGAGCTGACCATCTGTTGCGGTGCCTGTGGTGTAAGGTTGTGCAGGAGCGGGTTGCCATGGATGTTGATGGTGAGCAGGCGTTGAACCACTGAGTCAACCAAATGGTTGAAGTGATCGGCGTCCATGGCAGCAGTGGCCGATCGTTTGGTCCCTCTGGGCTCATCGTGTGCCTGATGATGAGTATCCTCCAAGGCTTGGCGATGTTCCTCACAAAGGGCCCAAATGGGGTCGGAGGCAATGGCCGTCATCACAAATTGCCAGCCGTGAGTGGTCCATCATAAGCGATGATGTAGCTGTGGTCGCCAGGATGCAGGAGTGGTATCTGGGTGCAGATCGACATAGCTGTTCCGCTCATTGTGATGTTTGTCGACAAGCCCCAATGAGGAAGGTTACGGATGTGGTTCCACTGCCGGAAAAACCAAAGTTTCTGATCTCCAAGCCACCGTGAGCACCATTCATCCCAAGGCTTGAATTCGCGACACAGGTTAGCGTAAGGATGTCTTGCATACCAGGCTTCTCCATCATCTGTAGATCCGCAGTGCGGATGGGTGAAGGGCGATAGCGTGGTCCCACTGGAATGGGATTCTCTTCGTCACTGGAGTCGGACATGGCCATCTCATCGTAGCAATTGGGCGGTATGTGTGGGCTCTATATTCTGGCCAGTATGCCGTGTTATGTGGGCGTACTGGAGATGCCGTGGTAGGTGAAGGGTTCTCATTCTCATCAGAGTCGTACTCGGCGGGCAGGTTCGTGTCGGCGGGAGTAGTGCCCATACGAATGCTGCATGGGGATCGAGGATGGGGAGCAAGGGATGGGGTATAACGATCGAGTGGCGAAAAGGCTGCGGCAAGAAAA